CTTGACTGCTAACCAGAAGGCTGGTGGTTCAAACCCACCAGCCAGTCCTTGGAAGGAAGGTTGGGCAATCTACTTCCATAGTGATACTGCCTTGGCAACCCAAGGAGGGGTCGCTATGAGTTGGGTCCGACTCGACAGCACACAACAACAACAGGGAGAAGTGGAAGACTAAGAGTTTAGAGTGTGGGAAAGATCACTGTTTTCATGGACTAGTGTCTGATCTTTTTGCTTCTGTGATTTTTAGTTTCATGTGGGTTGGTATTTTTCTCCAGGGTCACCATACCAGCCTGTTTGAAATGAGTTTAAGGCTAATCTGACATTAAGGAGCCCAGGAGCTAGTGGAGATTTTGCACTTAATGCAGTCATGCTCTGTGGAGCAGAGCAGGGGGAGGTTTAAGGTGATATTGGAGAAGTTGAAACCACCTGTAGCACCCCAGCCACAATCTTGAGGATGCCCTGAGCATCCTCCAGTTATGATATGAGATAGGCCCAAATAGTGACTGCCATGCACACTAAGTGTCTTACCAGGGTTAGAGGTAAGACTAAAAGTGGTTGAGAAAAGCTCACTCCACTACTTTCACATTCAGACAAATATTTGAGCATGTACTATGTGCCAAGAATAATTGTAGGTGCTTGGGAATACAGGAGTAGATAAGTACCTGCTCATATGGAATTTAGAAGTAGTAGAGGGGAGGTATAGATAAATAACTTTAGATAGTGAAATTGCTAGAAAAGGACATGTTGTTGTTGTTAGGTGTTGTCGAGTCATCTCTGGCTCATAGCTACCTTATGCACAACAGAATGAAACACTGCCTGGTCCTGTGCCAGCCTCATGATCCCTGCTATACCTGAGCCCATCATTGCAGCCACTGTGTCAGTCCATCTCATTGAGGGCCTTCTCCTTTTTCATTGACACTCCACTTTACCAAGCATGATATCCTTTGCCACAGAATGGTCCCTTCTGACAACTTGACCAAAGTAGGTGAGATGAAGTCTGGCCATTCTCACTTCCCAGGAGCATTCCAGCTGTACTTCTTCCAGGACAGATCTGTTAGTTCTTTCAACAGTCCATGGTACTTTTAGTATTCTTTACCAACAACACAACTTAAAAGCATCAACTCTTCTTCGATTTTCTTTATTCATTGTCCAGCTCTCATATGCATATGAGGCTTCAAATACCATGGCTTCAGTCAGGCACACCTTAGTCTGGACATAATGTTTGAAAAGGACATAATGTTTGGTAAAGTGGAGGGCCAGCAAAAACAAGGGTAACCTTCAATGACATTGTTACCTAGTGT